CCAATGTATCGTGTGCTCCATGTGGAGAGCTCGGAGAGGTCGAAGGGGTCGGAGGGCAGACAGGCCCGACGGTGGCGCTGGTGGGCTCGTGAGGGCTCGGGAGGGCTCACAAGGGATGGAGTGCCCGGAGGGCTCGGAGGGCCAAGCCGCCGAGCCGGGCTCGCGGGCTCGGAGGGCTCGGAGGGCTCGGAAAGCTCGGAGGGCCTCGGAGGGCTCGGAGGGCTCGGAGGGCTCGAGGGCTCCAGTAGCCCTCCGAGGCCTCCGGAGCCCCCGGAAGCTCGAGCCCTCCGAGCCCTCCGAGCCCTCCGAGTTCCCCGACCCCGGCTCGGCAGCTCGCCTCCGACCCCTCCGAGCACTCCATCCGAGGGCTTGAAGGGCTCGGAGGGCTCGGAGGGCTCGAGCTTCCGAGCCCTCCAGACCCCTCCGAGCCCTACTGGAGCCCTCCAGCCCTCCGAGCCCTCCGAGCCCTCCGAGGCCCTCCGAGCTTTCCGAGCCCTCCGAGCCCTCCGAGCCCCCGAGCCCGGCTCGGCGGCTTGCCCCTCCGAGCCCTCCGGGCACTCCATCCCTTGTGAGCCCTCCCGAGCCCTCACGAGCCCACCAGCGCCACCCTCGTGCCTGTCTGCCCTCCGACCCCTTCGACCCCTCCGAGCTCTCCACCTCTCCCAAGCCCTCACGAGCCCTCCTACGCCTCGCTTTTGGCCAGCCCTCCCAGTCCCCACCCCTCCGAGTGCCCTCCTGGGCCCTGCCGCCTGACACCTCTATCGGTGGAGGGCTTTAGGTCACAGTCCACGTGCTCCAGCCTAACCCGCAGCCTAACCAGCTTTGTGCTCCAGCCTAACCAGCTCTGTGCCCCAGCCTAACAGCTCTCCAGCCTAACCAGACAGTGGAAACGAGCGGGTTGTCGACTTGCTGCTGCGGCGTGGCGCCGAGATCGACCTGCAAGACAAGAACGGTGGCACCGCGCTGGTGCTCGCCGTCTACTTCAACCGCCCCGCCGTCGTGCTCCGCCTTCTGCGGGCAGGCGCAGACATGACGTTGCGCGATGCGGCGGGCAAGACGGCGCTGCAGTGGGCCAAGGAGAAGGGCCACGCCGAGTGCGTTCAGGCCTTCAGGACGTACCTCGGGGAGGTGGCGGCGCGCCGGAGCAAGGTAACGTCGGCCGAGGTGGGTGGCGCAGGCGCGGCGGTGGGTGCGAGTGCCGTGGCCTCTGCTTCGAGCGGCGAGGGCGGCGCGGAGGTCGAGCCGAGCGGCGGGGCGGTGCCAGAGGAGGTTGTGGACGCGGCTGATGACGGCGACGAGGCGGTTGTGCTGGCGTGGCTCGACGGCGGCGGATGGGTCAACGCGGCGTTCGAGTACGTCTTTTCGGACGGCTCTCTGAGCGGCATGACGCTGCTGATGGTCGCGATGATGAAGGGCCACGAGGGTCTGGCCGAGGCGCTGCTCCAGCGCGGCGCGGATGTCTCGTTGCAGGCCAGCGTTGGCGATACCGCTCTGATTCTCGCCGCCGCGAATGGCTTCGAGAAGCTGGTCGAGTTGGCGTTGCGGCACGGCTCGGAGATCAACCAGCAAACTGCTCTCGGCAGCACCGCGCTGATGGGCGCCGCTGGCAATGACCAGGAGAAAGTGGTCGACACGCTGATCAGGGCGGACATCGACGTCCAGTGCAACGCCGGCGACACCGCGCTGATTCGGGCCGCTTGCTACGGCCACCCCACCGCCCTCCTCTGCTTGCTGTGGGCGGGCTCCGACCCGAAGCTGCGCACTACGGATGGCGAGACCGCGCTGCAGCTGACCAAGGAGAAGGGCCACGCCGAATGCGTGCGCGCCTTCGCGGAGCATGCGGCGGCCGAAAAGGCGGCGGAGAAGGCGGCGGCGGAGGCGGCGTGGGCCGCGGGAGCGGCGGAGAGGGCGGCGCAGAGGGCGGCGGAGGAGAAGGAGGCGGCGCGGCACGCCGAGGAGCTGCTGGCCGAGGTCGAGGCGGAGAAGCGCGCCAAGGGCAAGAAGGGCAAGAAGAAGAAGAAGGGGGGCGGGGCGGGCGCGGCTGCTGGGCCGTCGCAGGAGTCCGGGGCGCTTTCGGAGGCAGCCGTAGCCGAGGCGGCGAAGAAGGCCGAGGAGGCGAGGCTTCTCCGGCTTCTCGCGACGCTCACCGAGGAGAGGATGCGGCTCGGCATCACGGCGGAGAGCCAGGCGGCGGCGTCGGCAGAGGTGGCCGAGGCGGCACTGCCTCCGCCCGCCTGGCGCCGCCCCTCGGCTAGCCCCTCGGCCTCGGCCCTCGCACCTCGCGCTCGGCGCCGCACCTCGGCCCCGCACCTCGGCCTCTGGGCCGGCACACGTGTCCTCGCTTTCTTTCACTACTACACTTTTGAATACACTTTGCAACGGAGTTACACACGTGCAGCTGCAGGTGACGCCCCGGCCCGGACCCCGGTGGGGCCATGGACATGGCTCTCGCGTGCTTGAATCAGCTCGGCCACCGCCTCGTGTCCCTTCTCCAAAGCGAGCAAAGAGGCAGTCTTCCCACCGTTCTCCACAGCCAATGCACTCACCCCGGCCAACAGCAAGCATTCCACAACTGCAAGGTGCCCGCGACCTGCTGCGAGCATCAGCGCGGTTACCCCGTCTCTGGTAGCTGTCTCGAGGTTACCGCCCGCTTCGTGCAGCTGCGCCACCACCCGGACGTGGCCCCCAATTGCGGCATCCATAAGTGCGGTGAAGCCATTGCCCGCGGCACAGCTCACGTCTGAACCTGCCCGAAGCAGTAGATCTACGACGCTGAAGTGCCCACCCGCCGCTGCAAGCATCAGTGCGGTCTTTCCGGCCTTGCTTGCGACAGCCACAGAGCCCCCTGCCTCTGCCAATTGTTGCACCAAGCGCAGGTGGCCGCCCTGTGCGGCGTACATGAGTGCTGTGAAACCGTCCCTATTCTGGGCGTTCACATCCGCGCCGGCACTGAGTAGCTGCTCCGCCACAGCAACGAATCCGCCAGCGGACGCTGTCCGCAGCGCTCCCTCGAGAGTTTCGAGCGCCGAGATCGCCACCGGGTTGCCGAGTGCCGCACTCAGCACCTCTGGTGTGTCCATACACTTCATTGCGCCCAAGACTGCGCCACGGCAAAGTGAGTTGACACGATCACAGCCGCCAAACTCGTTCTCAATACGAGCCACCTCTCGCACCCGGTCCGCCTCAACGGTGGCGACGCAGCGGCGCACGTCGAGCATGCGGAACAGGTTTGGGAGCATTCTCTTGCTAGCCGTAAATGCGTCGTCCGCCCCGCGACCTCCCACCAACATCACCACGGGCTTTGCAAAACGCAAAGCCGCTGCGAGCTCGACCACACACCACAGCCTGTAGAAGGCGCACATTCTCAACGCTGCCTCGGGCGGGTCGCGCGACGCCTGCGTCGTCGCGTCGAACTTCATGGCTGCCACCGAGTCGATGTGCTTGCTCACCAGGACGAATCCGTGGCTCGCCTCTATTGCAGGCGAGAAGTCGAGATCGGCAGCGTTGCCAGGCCACTGCCGCACAGCAAAGAGATCTAGCCAAACCCGCTGCTCATCTGCCAGCACGTGACAAATAGCAGCGACCATGTCTGCAAACGGTGCTCCCCAGCTGTGCGATACAAAAACATCTGGTGGCCCGGATGCGGCCGCAACAGACTCGAGCTCGATGTAGCGGCACCGAGAAGCGGCAGTCTGGGGCTTGATGACGTCTCGGACGACTTCGAATGTGCTGATCGTGTCCCGCCGCCTGGCTGGCACAGCGGTGTCGAGAAACGTTTTGAGAAAGCGAACCGTCACGCCCCGAGTAGCGAGCGTCGATGAAGATCCGGCCGCATGGTCCAGTGCAGTGACGGCTCTCATCGCCCTGCTCTCCGCTGCGAACCGAACTCGAGCGATGGGCTTGCGACAGCCGTAGCAATGCCAATTCGTGCCGTTATCCCAGCTTTCAGCGTACTCGCACGCACAGGAGCAGGACTCGGCTATACGACTCGCCTCGGCAGCGGCGGCGGCCAGCTCGGTAGCGGCGAACAACATTTTGTGCCCAACAGCGCCTCGCGCCAGGTCGGCGTGTCAACGATTGCGATCGCTTTGCAAGGTGTTGACCTTGGCCTTGGCATGGCGATGGTGGCAGCAGCCCGTCCATCATCGGCTCGGAGCGATTTGGTTGACGAAGAGCTCTCCTGGGTGCGCGCGGCTCGGCTTCTCCTGTCGTCCGCTCCTGGGCTCCTGTATGCACCGGCGTTCAAGTGGCTCTGGGAGCAGCGCTACCCCGATGTGCCATGGACCGAGTCCTGCGGAACGCTCATCGTAGACGGCTCACCCAGCTACAACCTGGAGCTTCCTGGCACCGTCAGCTTTGATAGCGCCTCGCCATCAAATTTGATAACAACGGTTGACCTGCGAAAGTTCCTTCCACGACGCGTTGAGTTCTGCGTCGTCGCTGCAGATGGTTCGCCTGTCGGTGTCTACCGTGTGACGCCGGGCAAGCCACCGTGTGAGTACACCGAAACACGGTTGCCGATTGACCCGGCTTACACCGGGCCCAGCATCGTAAACCTGCGTGTGCTGCGACGTGAGGTGCTCGGTTGCCGCCCAAACTCGGAGCCCACAAAAGGCAACGCCCCAAACAAGCTGAGGTCTGGGCAGCCCGAGAGCTGGGACGGCTGCCTACACTTTCACCTTTGGACGGACCACTGGCTTGATTTGAACTGCCCAAGGCCACTCCGAGTGTGCCTCGCAAATGTCAACGCCTTTCGCAATCAGCTGATCGCCCACGCCGCCAACCCCGGCCACCTGTCGCTCGCGCCAGAGGAGTACAGTCGGCTGTGCGAGATGCTGAAGGTTTTTGCCGAGGACCACGTGAGGCCTCTGGACGCACGCTCTTGCGATGCAATGCTTCAGGCACTCGAGGAGATCGACGGCATGACCGAGCAGACGACCAACTTTGAGGGTCTGATGGAGGATTTGAGGCAGGAGGCTCTGCGCCAGGCCGGGCCTCAGATCTTCGTCGAGAGCGGCTCCTCCTTCCTGAGCTGGTGCTGGCGACGTCGGTGAGGCTGATTTCGATGCATCACTGCAATGAGAGGTGCTGGGCCGGCGTTCCCCTGTAGGCTCGTGCGGCTCCCGATGTCGCAGCGGCTGCTCATCTTCAGCTGCCTCCTCGAGGCGCTCCTGCTGCTCATCTATGGCGAGCTCCCTCGCCGCGCGGCCGAGGCTGACACCGCCCTACGTGTTTCCCTCACTTCCCTTGCCGCGAGCAGGCGTGCTCTCGTTTGTCGACGCGGCCAACTACGCGAGGAGGCTCTACAAGGCGTTGCGGGCCGCCTGCGCGCCTGCTTCTCCTAGCGTCTCCTCACAGCCCGAGCTGTGGGTGCAGGCGACGCGTGCCGCATGCCCGCTCGAGTGCGACGGCGACAGGTGCGACAAGTCCGGCTCGCTGGGGCCCAACGCCACCGCCGCGGAGCTCCGCGTGGCGTCCATCCTGGCCGACCAGAGCGGCGGCGGACGGTGGCCAATCTTGGAGGCGGGGCGCACTCTCTTGCGGCGGGCGGCGGTGAACGGCAGCAGCGAGCCGGAGGCGTATGCGTCCGAGATCCGATTCGGCGGTATGGCGCAGCTGTCGGAGCCGGATGCGGAGGCGCTTCAGGCGACGATACAGAGCACGGTTCCAGAGAGCAGCCAGCCGGGCGCCGGCCGGCTCGTCGGAGAGCAGCGAGCTGCACCCGAGATCTACCCGCGATCGACCCGAGAGTAGGCGCCGTGCGGCTGGTCGGTGTGTACGGCACGAGCTTCGCCGGCCTCGAGGGCGCGCCTCCCGCTCTCGCAGACCGCCGCCGCTGGTCGCCCAACCCGGTGGGCGTCCTCGAGCTCTTGGTGTCCGTCAACGGCACAGAGACGTGGGCCGCGGTCACACCGCCAGGTTCGGTGCGCCGCAGGGCGTCGGCGCGGCAGGGGGGCGCCACCGGCCGCGCTGCCACCGCGGCATCGCTCCCGCCGGCGCAGCCCGCGCGCGAGGGCAGGAGCGGGGACCCCGGCGCGCCGAGCGGCGCCTCGTCCGACGCCTCGGCGGGCGTTCAGCCGCGGCGCTACAGCCCTCAAGAAGAGCTGGAGGAGTACGCACAGCTGGCGGCGGTGGCCTGCCGGCAGCTAGGCTACGAGCACGGCTGGGCCGCCGAGAGGGTGTGGGAGGCGGTCTTCCCCGACGGCTCCACCGCGGTCGACGGCCTCGCTGGCGTGTCGCCGTCCACTTCGCCGGTCGCGTGGCTTGGCGGTGTCGGGTGCGAGGGCGGCGAGGCGAGCGTCGGGGACTGCGCGGGCTTCGCCAACCTCAGCGCGACCGCAGACGCCGCCGCCGTGACGCTCGTCGGCTGCTCCGGCTGGGAGGCGGACGGCGGCGGCGGCGAGGCCTGCTCGGACCACTCTTGGGTCCTCTCGGAGCTGCGGCGTGAGAGTGACGCCCCCGTGTGGCGGTCGATCTCTGTGGCTCAAGTTGGGGGCGAGGCGCGCCTCTCGCCGCTGCCGCCGAAGGCGGCGGCCCTCGTCAACACCAGCGCCGCCGGATTCGCGGAGGAGGGCGAGTGTCTCGAGCAGCCAACGTTGGAGAACGGCTGCCTCTGCGCTCGCCTAGAGTCACCGGAGCAGAGCTCGGCCAACGGCTTCCGAGTCTGCTACGGAAAGGACGCCCTCACCCCGCCCGCGAGGAGGGCGCTGGAGGCGTGGTCGGCGTACGGCCAGTCCTCATGCGGGCTCCCGCCCAACTGCGCCTCGCTCTCCCTCTTCTCGATCTGCACGTCGCCCGCCTCAAAGTTCGAAGCCCCGCTCCCCGCCGAACCCACCGGGAGCACCTCGCCCCCCTCCACACCTCGCCCTGTTCACACCTCGAGCCGGGATGCAGGTTCTACGTGCCGCTGCAGCACGTGATGCTCTCACTCGCGCTGCTCGTCTTCATCAAGCGCGCCATCGCCGCGGAGAACATGCCCCACCTGATCGCGTGCGTGGTCGTCGTCTCCGTCGCCTGGGGCTACGAGCTCTCCCGCGGCGAGATGTTCCAGCAGTGCGACGGCGAGGCGGCGCGCTCGGCGATGCTGTACGAGCACACGCCGGACGGCCTCGAGAAATCCTACGTCCACGCGATCCACGCCTCCCTCTTCTGGATGTGGGGCTCCGTCGCCGTCGTCATCAGCGTGCTCGTCGCCTTTGTGTACCGCCACTTTGGCTGGCAGACCTTCTCCGTCGTCTCGCGCCTCCGCCTCTCCCTCGCCGCCTACCGGCTGCTGCAGTGGCAGCGGGCGGCGACCGAGTGGTCCATCTTCGTCTGCCTCCTCTACACCGCCGCCACCGCCCTCGACACCACCTTTTACCGCGCGCAAGGCATCGTGTCCGCGCAGGCCCGCCCGCGCGCCCTGCTCATCGCGCACGCCTCGCAGCACACGCCCCACCGCACACGCCTCACAGCACACACCGCTGGCCCCATGGAACGAGCTTGCGCGCAGGTCGTCACGTACTGCATCATCGCCGCCGACGTGCTCGTCCTCTACCTCTGCCACCGCTTCTCGCTCGCCTTCACGCCAAGAAGCACTCGCTTCGTCAGCTGCTTCCGGCGCTACTTCAGCCTCGCGCCGGCGGCTGCTCTGTGATCAGCGCTCGTCACGCGCCCGGCTGTGAACAGGCGCTACTTCACGCTCGCGACGGCGCGCTCGCGCTACACTGCGCTCGCGTTCGTCGTGGCGCTCGGGCTGCTGATGCCGGTGAGCATGGCGACCTCCTTTTTCCAGCAAGACCGCTGGTGGTACATCCAACTTGGCGCCGAGATCTAGCCGAGATGCATCCGAGATCTAGACGAGATGCAGCCGAGATGCAGCTGAGATGCAGCTGCACATGCGCCACGCTGCCGGCCTCCGCTCTGGACAGCGCAACATGGCTGCGTTAGGCCTCCCGCGGTACGTCCTCTTCTACGCGTTCGTCACCACCTTCCGCGTCGTCCTCCTCGTCACCACCTCCCTCGTCGCCTTCAACAAGGAGCTGGCCAGAGGGTGCGCTGTCGCGAGAGCACGAGGGCGCGCAGCCCGCCGAAAGCGCCTCTTCGCACCTCCAAGCTGTGAAAACAGGTACGCCCTGCGAGAGGACATCAAGCGGACGCCCGCGGCGGCCAGGTCTCCGGGCAGTTTCTCGGCTGTGTCTCGCCCTCCCCTCGGCTGTATCTCGGCCACGTCTCGGGTATAGGACTCCGGGCAAGAGCGGATGGCACACCACGCGCGGCGCCACGGCGGCCGAGGTGATCGATCTGCCGCCGCACATTGCGAAGCACGTGCGCAGCGCGGCCGAGGAGGAGGCGCTCCGCTTCTGCGCGGTGGGCGCCGTGCTCACGCTCGTCGGTAAAGACGGCCAGCGGCAGCAAGACTGCTTCCTGCAGCTGTCGCCCGACATGTCCTCGATCCGCTGGTCATGGAAGAAGATGATGCTCGTCGCAGAGCTGACCACGATCCTCTACTCACCGGTGCGAGGCCGCCCCCCTCCGCCCCCCCCCCTTCTTTGAGCCCTCCGCCGAAATCGCCTCCGGCGCCTTCTGCAGGCGCGGCCGCTCAACTTCCGAGTCTACTACAGCGACGCGGCTCAACAGACTGACCTCGAGCTCTCCTTCCTCTGCCGCAAGCTGCAGCACGCCCAACACTGGGTCACAGCGCTCGGGCTACTGCACCGCGCCCAAGCTACTCCACGGGGCATCGCCGAGAGTGAGCACAAGAGGTGCAAGGCCCTAGATGCTAAAGACGCATCCCTGCATTCCAAGAATTGCTCGAGAAGAGACGGTACACCGCCCAGTAGTGTCATACCTACGACATAGGCTCAAGGCCGCCTTCCGGAGCTCTGTCTCCAGAGGGCGTACGCAGCTGTCTCTGGAGCAGCAGCAGGACTTCTTCGGCTGTCTCAACCTCTACGTCGGCAAGGACGAGCTGCGTCGCATCCATCTCATCTGCGGTCTCCACTTTGTTGAGCGACCCGCCCATGCCGACCTGTGAGCAGCGTCTCTTCACACTTCCAGGCGCGAATAGGCTTGCCGCCCGAGTGGTCGTGGCACGTCGACCTCGCCACCGGCCAGGACTATTTTTACAATTCACTCACCGAGCAGCGGCAGTGGGCGCCGCCGCAAGCGGGCTTCTCCGTCGACATGGAGCAGCTCTTTGACCCGCTCGCCAAAGGCAAGCATGTCCGTGAGCGCCGCGGCCGTGCTCTGACCGCCGCAATCGACTCCGGCGGACAGAGTAGTGCTGGTGCGCGTTGGCAGTCCCACACACACGTAGAGGTAGCGACGCGTCCGTGACACGACCACTGGCTTGCCACACAGGAGCGTCATGGCAGTCGATGCTCGATTTGTTCGTCGTCGCCTCGCGCCAGCCGTCGCTCGAGGCACGGCTCTGTAAGCACGCGCAGAGGGGCATCGGAGGACGCAAGCTCTCCCTCGAGGTACGAGGCGCAGTATTCCAGGGGGTGACATGTGATTAGCAGTGCATCTCACCCTCTCTCCACAAACAGGATTTCCGCGACTTTTGGAGCGCCGCCGTTTGCGGGGGCGCCCGGGCAAGCAGCGTGGCGAGCGACGTGGCGTTCGCTGGCGCGCCTTCGCTCATCACAGCGAAGGTGGCCGCCGAGGCCACGCGCATCTTCGAGCGCGGGGTCGGCTCGGCGGCGGGGGAGGCGCGGCTGCAGGCTTCCGCCATCGTGGCGCTGCTGACGGACGTCTCTCAAAATGCGTGGATCGAGCCGGTCCACGCGCAGGTCCACCAGACGATGGACAAGCCCCTTTCAGCGTACTACATCCGCTCCTCCCATCGCACCTTCCTCACCGGCAACCAGCTCACCTCAGACTCATCGGCGGACATGTACCGCCGCGCGCTCACGATGGGCGTCCGCTGCGTCGAGATTGACATCTTCGACAGCCCCGACGGCGGGCTCGAGGTGTACCACAAGTTCTCCGCCACGACGCGCGTCCCCTTCCGCTCTGTGCTCGAGGCAATCAACGAGACGGCCTTCACCAAGTGCGGCCGCGCATCGAAGTACCCCGTCATCCTCTCGCTCAAGTGCCATGCCTCGCTTGAGGGGCAGGACCGCATGGCGAGCGAGCTCGTCGAGGTGTTTGGCGAGCGGCTCCACCGGCCGGGCGGTGGCGACTCGTGGCGGCTCGAGACGCCGCAGTCGCTGCAGGGCAAGGTGGTGGTCAAGGGCAAGCGGTGCCCGGCCGCCAGCATTGGAGGCCCGGTCAACCACATCATTGGAGCCAAGGTGACCTCCGGCGAGACTTCCATGGATTGCGAGCAGGGCTTGCGTGGCTCCAATGACATCGTTGAGGCGGAGTCCGAGGATGAGCTGGGGGACCTCGTTTGGTCGCATCCTGGCCGTCGCCCAAGGTTTCCCTTATCGCAAGGCTATCTGTCCAGGCCTGCTGAATCCGCTGTGCCACCCCCACCCCAAGTGCGCAACCCGCACCCCGACGAGAGGTCGACGTCGTTGGAGGATTCTCCCCGCTCCGGGAGGGGCCGAGGCGACCAATTGCCGCGCGTCAAGGCTCGATGGCCGCGCTGGCGGGGACTGTGATATGAGACTTAACCATCACCCTCGGGTTGTCGACCCATAGGTGTCCAAGGCGCTTTCAGAGGTGACGGCGATGCGCGCAGTGCGTTTCACGGGGTACGTGCCAGTGCCGACGCCTGAACAGCGCGCGCAGCAGCCGCTGGTCATCTCCTCCTTTAAGGAAGGTGCCACGATCGACATGGAGCGCGAGCAGCAGCCCGTCTGGCTCGCACACAACGAGTCGCACCTCTCTCGCGTCCACCCGAAGGGCAGCCGCGTCGACTCGAGCAACATCCATGACTTGCACGCGTGCCGCCTATGGGGGCCCGGGGTCCAAAAGGGGGCGCCCAATGTTCAGACGTGGGACAGCGCGATGATGCTCGATGAGGCGCTGTTTCAGCTCAACGGGGGGTGGGGCTACGTGCTGAAACCGCAACTGTTTCCGGGGGGGGCCCCCCCCCCCCCCCCCCGCCCCGCCCCCCCCCTCCCCCTCCTCCCCCGCTCCCCCGCTCTCGCCTTGCGACCGTCGCTTCCTTAATCGGGGCTCCACCCCCCTTGGCTCCAGGCGCGACCCCCTCCTCTTCCGGCGTGATGCTCTCGCTACGCATCATCTGCGCCTCTAATCTGCCAAAGACGCGCGATGAGAGGCGAGCAGTTCGAGGGGCCAGTAGGACGCTCTGACAGCTCGGGTTCAACGCCGCGACGCCTCGCCGTAGGCTCGTGGCGCGACCGTGGGACGAGTGGCACCCGCAGTGGTGGAAGGCGCGACCGCAGCAGCTGCACCCAGGCGGCATCGTCTCCCCCGCGTGCGAGGTGGAGCTTCTCGGCGGGTTGGTGGGGAGCGACGAGGATGCCTACCTTCTCGAGCGCTGGTCGCGCAGGACGTCTACGGTGACCAGCAACGGGCTCAATCCGTCATGGGCGGGGGAGGAGTTTCGCTGCGCGTGCTTCACGCCCGACCAGACCTTCCTCAAGCTCTCCGTTGTAGCAGAATCATACTCACCTTGGAGCGGTACTGCGCGGCACGAGCTCGTAGCGTACGAGGCGGCGCTTGTGGGCGCGCTCCGGCCCGGCTACCGCGCAGTACCGCTCCGCTGTCCCAAAGGCTCGCCGATTGAGTCATGCTCGCTGCTCGTCCACATTGAAATGACGCCGCTCCGCGAGGCGCAATGTCTCGAGCGGTGGGGGGCACGCTGGCCGTGGTCGCGTTCCGACTGTGCCTGAGAAGTTCCGGGGGGCTGCACTAACTCTCTAAGACGCGTGAAGCTGGCCAGTGCTGCCCTAGAATGCCATAAAATGAGATCTGTGTCTGAAAAATACCGGAACGCAGTTTTGCGCTCTACTCATTCTAAATGTTAGTGCCAGTGCGCGCCCCAGTCCCATGCCCAGTGTCGTGCGAGGGAGCTTTGTTGTAAATTTCTAAATGTAAATCCGATCACTGGGGTTCAAGAGCACCAGGTACGTCTCCGAGGCGATTCGAGCAACCCCAACCACGCACAGGCTCGCGAGCAGGCCGTCGAACAGCCCCTTCAGCAGAGCCCAGCAGACGGCTCCAGCGATCCCACTGCCGCGCAGAGGATGGGCCATCGAGAAGCGCCCCTCGTCTTCCGACACTGCCAGCGCGGATCGGATGGCGCGAAGCTGGACGCCGCAGATCTCCTCCGCGATCCGGGTCGCAAAGGGCAGGAGCGTCGAGATTCCAAACGCGGCCATGACCAAGTCGTCGCAGGACAGGTGCACGACCGCACTCGGGAACGCTGAGCGCTGCTGAGACCCACGGACCAGCCCACCCGCGAGAGGGTGATGAGAAATCCAAGAAACACACCCACAAGGGCAGCGCACGGCGTGATATCCCCACGCGCCTCCGCCTCCTCGATCATGTTGAGAGCGATCCGGTCCTTGAGGGAGCCGCCGGGGTTCTGCATCTCCAGCTTGCAGAGAATCGTCGCCTGCTTGGACGCGGCCGGAACGCAGCGGTCCAGCTTCACCATCGGCGTGCTGCCGACCGTCTCAAGGTACGAGCACGCAGGTGGCAGAGGAGCGGTGTCCATGATTGCAGACGCAGCGTGATCCAAGCGGGTGTAGAGATCGCATGTTCGCTAATCATATCAAAACTCGCTTGAACGATATCGGTGTCGAAACACCGCTCTGACAGCGCTCAACAGCTTCGTCTCCCGATCAACATTAAACCCACGAGTGCGCTCTGATCCCCCGCATGCGCAGCAGTTGGAACAGCCGATAGCTCTCGCTCAGCAGCCGCGGCTTCGCCCGGCGGTTGTGCGGTTCCCGGAGCGTGATGTCCCAGCCCTTTTCCACCATGGGGCTGTCGACGACGTGATCCTCAAAGTAGAGTTCGTCGATGAGCCCCGAGACGGCGTTGTCCGCGAGGATCTGCTCGATCAAAGTCGCCTCGACGGTGATAGCGTCCACGTCCACCTTGAAGACGACAAAGTCGTCGGCACAGGCGACCTCGCGCAGCAGCCGGAGAGGGTTATTTTGCGCGCCGGGCGCCGGGTCGACGGCGACATTGAAGTAGTGGAGCACCTCTCGCACGGCGGGAGGCACGTTGGCGCCGATCTCCTCCTCGGTGTGAGGAGTCGGCTCCCACGCAAAGATCTTGTCAATGGGGCGAACTACGCGGGGGGAGAGAGGGGGACGTGGGGGGGGGACAGACTCAGCTTTTGTGCAGATGCGCCAGATCTTATATATTACAGATCAAAGAAAGAAAAATAAGGCCCAAGTGCTCCAAAAAGCCGCACAAGGCCGTGTGTTGATATGCGAATTGAGACGTCAAAACCGCCTTCCGCAGGATTTTTTTTGCAAGGTTGAGAGGGGAAGGGCGCATCGCACGCGGAGAGGGACTGGAGCACTTGGAGCACTTGAAGTGCAGTCATTGGACTGACTGACTACGACAACAACAACTCTGACTACAAGGCGGCAGCCTTCCCTCTACCTGAGTGAGGGAGAGGGTGTACGGTGTAGAGGATGTAGAGTGTAGAGCGCCGTAGAGCTGTAGAGCTGGAGAGCTGGAGAGCTGTGGAGCGCTGTAGAGCTCAGGTGATTTCACGCACTCTGGGATGAAGAGAAATCCAAGAAACACACGCAGAAGGGCAGCCCGCCCTAGGGTTCGGAAATTCCGAGCGGTCCAAGGAGAGGCTTGAGCTCCTCAAGCGGCAATTTTCGTCAAGGCGGCCCTCCGCTACCATGCTGTGCCTACTCTCCGCCGCTGTGGGCGCTCCGGTGCCCTCGACGCAGCCTCCAGCCGAGAAGCTTCTGTCGACGCCTTCGAAGGGCGGCTGGTACCCGGTACCTCCTGCCCGCTCTCGAGGCGCCTTCCCTGCATGCCCACTCACACGGGTGGCCGCTGCTCCGTGCAGGGCAAATTGCTCATGGAGGCCGCCTCCGACGTCAAGGATGGCACGTATGTGCCGGGGAAGCGGCTCGACGAGATGGTTGAGGAGTCCAACGACACCGGCGCGTGGTACCCTGGCAAGCTCGTGCACGATGCAGTGGAGGACATGGAGAACGGCACATACGTGCCCGGCGCCGAGATCCACAAGATGGTGACCAAGAGCGAGGAGAATGGTTCCTGGTTTCCGGGTGCGCCCTCCACGCCACCGCCCTTCCCACCTCGCGCAACGCTGACGCTCCTTCCCGTTCGGCCGCCCTCTAGGAAAACACTTGGGCGAGGCGGTCGCCGCGGCCGCGGCCGAGTTTCACGCGGAGGAGTTCCCCGTGCCGGTCGGCATGCCAGAGGGCACGACGTGCAACGAGCTGCCGTCGTGGCTGCAGGACGCGATCAACGACGTTGTGCAGGGCGTCATCGCCGAGATCCCCAACCACAAGACGCTCTCGCACCTCCCCGTGGAGGCCAAGGTGCGCGTCGGGATGGTGGACGCGGAGGTGCGCAACCTGACGGTGCGCTCGCTCCAGATGTCGCGAATCACGATGGCGGAGTGCCGCTCGCCACGCGAGGGCCTCGCCAGCTTCGTTCCCAAGCTCCTCCCCGACGTCATGCTGGTGCACGCCAAGGACGTCAACCTCACGCAGGGGCTGCAGTTCCAGACGCCGGGCTTCCTCGGCGGGCTCGGCTCGATCGGCGCCTCGGCCGTCAGCAACCTCACCGGCCACCTCAACCTGACCATCGTCAACGGCAAGAACGGCAACGCGACGCACGTGACCGGATGCGACGCGACCTTTGCCATGGGCGACACTTCCGTCGCCGGCCCGGCTGGCCTCAACCTCGACGTCGCGGCGGTCCCGCTGCCGCTGCCGATTGGGGCCATCCTGTGCTACGGCCCCGCGGCGCTGCTCGGGCCCGCCTCGGGCCTCGTCGGCGTCGAGCTGCAGGGCGCGGGCGTGCTAGCCGGCAAGACCCTCGACGAGGAGTTCAGCGGGCTGGTGGACATGCTCAACAAGTTCTTCAAAAAGTATAGCTGGTACGCCGGCAAGTACGCGGGCGAGGCGGCGGACGCCATCGCCGGCGGCCAGGCCACCCGCTCAGCGGAGAAGACTGGAAAAAAGGTGGAGGAGGAGGCGGAGGAAGTGGCGGAGGAGGCGGAGGAGGAGGCGGAGGAGGCGGTCGAGACGTGGTATCCCGGCAAGTACCTGAGCGAGGGCCTCGAGGACATGCACGAGGAGATGCACAGGCTCTCCGGGAAGCCCTCGTCGCCGCCTTCGCCGCCGCCGGGCAACTGCTGGGACGCGTGCGGCAGTAAGGGCGGCGCGTGCGACGAGTTCTGCGGCGAGGGCTATGCGTGCTGCCAGGGCGGCTTCGACGACCCGCACCCGTGCCCCAAGTCGCTGCCCACGGACCGCGACTACCACTTCTGCGTCCCCGCCGCGGCGGACGACGGCCACTGGTTCCCCGGCAAGCACCTGATGCAGGGGATGGAGGAGGTCAAGGAGGCGCTCACCTCGTCACCGCTTCCGCCCGCGCAGCCGCCGTCCCCGCCGCCGCCGCCGCCGCCGCTGCCCGCCAACTGCTGGAGCGCGTGCGGCGGCAAGGGCGGCGCCTGCGACGACTTCTGCGGCGAGGGCCAGGCGTGCTGCCAGAGCGGCTTCGGCGATCCGTGGCCCTGCCCCGAGTCGATGCCCGACTCGCTTGCAGCGCTCGACTTCCACTTCTGCGTCGCCGCAGCGCCGCCAATGCCGCCGTCGCCGCCCGCCTCGCCATCGGGCGGGTGGATCCTTGGGTAAGCGCTCGTTCCAACCCAGGGTTGTCTAATGGGTTCGTGCGCGGCGGTGCAGCGGTGCGCCCCACACACGAGATGCTCGATCGTTTACGGCGGGTCAACATGTTCAGACACACTATCTTAGAGAGCCCTTTCGTCACGATGTCACGGAGGACACGCAGCACAGAAGAAAGAGACAGAGATAGAGAGCATTAACAGTCCCAGCCGTAATATACTTAATAGATAATACTTAATAGAAAATAGAGGGAGCGAGCGATACACAGGTTTGTCCCCGGCCCTGGATGTGAGCAGGCTACCAACTGCACTCCAAGTGCTCCAAGTTTGTGCGGACTGCTGTGTGACACTTGTGCGCGCGTGTTGTGTTTAGACACAGTGTTGTTTTGTGTGCTACGTCGGCTGAATTAGATCTAGAGTATAGTACACCGAACGCGAACACCTGTGACACAACACGCACTCTCTCTCATCTCTCTCTCTCTCTCTCTCTCTCTCTCTCTCTCTCTCTCTCTCTCTCTCTCTGCGCGTACGCAGAACCCCCTCCGTAGCGACCGGCGGTCGCCCTCGCGATGCCGAACTGCAAATTCCTCAGCTATCGCACTCCGCCCGCCGCCTTCCGGAGCGCCGCGACCGCCTCGCTCGGCGCGTCGCGCAACACCTCGAGCCGCTCCTCGTCGACAAAGTCGACGCGGCCGCCCTCGACGTGCAGCACGAGGGCCGCAAGCATGCACTCGGCGCGGCATAGGCGCACGTACGGGTCGGACAGCTCGCCCAGCCCAAAGGTCTGGGTTGCGCCAAACTTGGCCACCCACGGCGCCGCGTCGGCTGCCGCCTGCAGCAGCGCGCCGAGCGGCTCGGCGGCGGTGGCGGCGGCGGCAACGGACGCGCGCAGGCGGTCCGCCTCGGCGCCAGTGAGGACGTAGTCGGGGTCGGCGGAGCGCGCCGCCAGCGCCCGCTCCGCGACAGCCGCCGGGTCGGGCGCCTGCGCCGATAGCAGCTCCTGGATCGCGTTGATGACGAGCGGCTCAATCGGCGGCCGATCCGGCCGCAGCGGGTCTTGCCGGCCGACGGGCGCCACACACGCCCTCGGAGGGTGCAGCACCCGCGGCGACGGGACGAGCGCCGCGAGGACGGACCATGCGGGCAGCATACCACACATGCACTCGTGATTTTTTCAAGGCGTCCCACCCCCCTCTGGCGAGGTACCCGGCTGAGACTGCGGTGAGATTGAAAGACAGCGGCGCTCTTTATGTCGTCCACGCAACACCGCCAAGGTCGCTTGGGAAGGAAAAGAATTTGAAGGCCTCGCACAACACTGGGCACGGTTAAAATCCCTGTGTGGTGGCGGCGTGCCGTCCTCCCATCCCTCCCTTGGGTTGTCTGTTTTCTTTCTTTCTTTCTTACACTGGGCACGGGACTGGCGCGAAAAAGAATTAACACACGCGTGGGGGAACAAGGACCGCCACCGCACGTTTGAAGCTGGGATTTTCCGGGTACGTCGTCCGCTCTCGGGTCCCTGAGACTGCTGAGAGAGAATTCTTGATACGAAACCACGACGACACACACCAGTCGACTCGCATCGGTTGCCTCCATGAACGGCGGAGCTATTCTCGCGCCCACACCACACCTGGCTCCAACGTGGACACGCCCATAGAACAAACAAAACAACTCCTTACTTCAGCTGGCATGTCGGCTGGCGGGCCTCTTCGGCTCGCGGCCGCCGTGCTGCTGATCCTGAGCGATCCTGCGCTCGCACTCGCGCAGAGCACGCGTGCTCTGCGCCCCGTGGACGCCGCGACAGCGGAGTCCCACGTCGGCGCTGTCCGACACCCACTCCTCGGCTCGACGCTCCAAGAGCTGCCAGCTCGACCCGCTTCAAACATCTGCAGCGCGGTCGAGCCGGTCCAAGCTATCGTCGAGCACCCGACGGCTGCCGACGCGGCTCCCGAGCCAGCCTCGGCTGCCGCCTCGGCTTCCGCCACGGCTTCCGCCACGGCTTCCGCCACGGCTTCCGCCACGGCTTCCGCCACGGCTTCCGCCACGGCTTCCGCCACGGCTTCCGCCACGGCTTCCGCCACGGCTTCCGCCACGGCTCCCGCCACGGCTCCCGCCACGGCTTCCGCCACGGCTTCCGCCACGGCTGTCGCCACGGCTGTCGCCACGGCTTCCGCCACGGCTTCCGCCACGGCTGCCGCCACGGCTGCTGCCACGGCTGCTGCCAAGGCTACCTCGTCTCGTGTCCTGTCTTTTGTGTCTGTGTCGCGTGACGAGTCTAGTGTGCCTAGCGTGTCTAGCGTGTTTTCTACCCGCTGCACAGGTCCGGCGCCGACTACCTCGACCGTCCCACCCACCTGGCACCGTGCAGAATGGCTCTGTGTCGGACCAAAGGCAGCCACAAGGCAGCCTGTCCCTCACAGTGTCCACAACGCCGGTGGGGTCCCCTCGGATGAGGGGGCGGGGGCGGCACAACCGTCTTTCACATTGCCCTCGACGACTGGCAGAGCCGGAGCCAACCGCACCGACCACAGCCCGACCAGTAGCCAGGAAACTACCCCGCTGGGCGGGGGCCTGGTTGGGTTGTGCGAGGTGCGGCCCTCTCGGAGCCACGAGTTGTACAAGTTCATCGACTCCGAGCGCATCTTCTACCCGTCCGACGACTCGCTCCTGCCGGGACCCGGGCCGACCGGTACCGAAGGCAGTCGAGCACCAGGACGAGGAGGCGCCGTTCTGGCGTCGCCCGTCCCCAACAACTCCGACATGGACATCTTCGTTGGCGGCACGCCCGCAAACGAGACCATCACCAGTCTCTTCTCGCGCGACGCCTCGTCGGCGGGCGGCCTCTGGGACCTCTCCGACCCGCTGGGACTGGTGATGGCAAAGCTCCCGGGAGATCTCTTACTCGCCGGCCTCATGGCGGCTTACACCAAAAACGGCATTTTCGCTTCCCTGTTCATTTTACACAGCGTCTCCGCCGCGCCCAAGCCTTGGTACTACGCGCTCTACGTTCCAGGGTCTGGTTGGGGCGTCTTTTCC